TATATATATAAATTTCGGTACATAATACAGTACCAAGCAGCTTCGTTTTATCTGCGCCGCTGTAACAATGTACTGAAAGATATGCGCATACTGCGTTGCTTCTCCTGTTTTTTTATAGCCCATGGCATTTTATCGTCCTCAGTCAAGTGCTGCCATGCAGTTTCAGGAAAATGAAGGCCCATCCTATGGGAGATAAACGCGATGGGACTGTACCGCCCCGACCAGTCGTGTCTTCTTGCGAACCTACTATGCAGTTTGTACACCTGTAGTATTCATTTGTCTGCCAGTTCCAATCGAAAGAAATCACTTGGCCACCTTCAAAACTTACCAGTGATGGTCTCAGGGGAGTTTCTCTGGTCATTTAGGTTAAAGTGTTATTGGTTCGACTCAACCCGCTCAGAAATTCCGAGTATCAGTTTAAGGCTCATGAACCCTCTGCAATAGAACGACCTGTATAAACAATAAAGTGAACTTTCAGTCAACTGAAAGATGTTTGGAACCCTACTGAGTAGTCATCGTTTCACAGAGGTTTGGTAAACAAGCGGTGGATTTATCACTGGGCACAGATTTTGTTGGCCTTTGTGCGTTGAGGGGTGCCAGGACAGTTTGTTTGGAGTTGGGGTGAGGGGCGTCTAAGTGAATCTCACTATGCTTGGGTTTTGCACTTTTATACCCAGACCATTATACTGATAACTGCATACCGTTTCGTGTTATCTCGACTGATGTAAAACCGCTCTCCACACGTCCTCTAGTTCTGCGTCCCCGATTCTATTCACTCTGGGGGGGGGGGGCTTGGCCGTTTCCGCCACCTCGGCCACTAGTCGCTGTGGTGTGAATCTTAGTCCACATCTCAGAACGTCCACATTTTCCAAATCTATGCTGCACCCAGTGTCCAGCACATGTCTAGCCATTGCAGAAACTTTGACTACCTCCTGATATTCACCAACATTTCTGGGTTATCTGTTTATGCATCGCTCACGCTCGCCGCTTCTGGTGTACAATTTCCCAGCCTTCTATAAACTTATAAACTTATAAACTTATGTAAACCTTCATGCAGTCGTTACGTTTTATTTTTGTGTGCACAGCTAGTAGTCCTGTCTACCGGAAAGCCATCCTCCAACTGCAGTAATACTGAGTGTAAAGTTTTCTTCTTCTGGAACGCTACTCTAATGTTAGCCGTATTCGACCCCCCTTCTAATGATTTTAGATATCTGTTTTCTGTGGCATGACCACTGTTCCGCCCCACTCCTTGTTGGGTCTTGTTGTCGGGATATATGCCAGTTTTAGTTGCCGCTTAATTAACCTACTGGGTGCCTGCTGTCATGACGTCGCTTTTTTTTACCTCAGATTGTGCTACTCTTCGGTCGACCTACTGTGTGCACAGTGCTCTTAGTCTACTGTTGAAACCATGTTGCCTTCGGGTGTGCGTGTCAGCCAAGGAAGTGTAGTGCACGCGATGTGGACTCTAGCTCCGTGCTAACTTAACATGAGGGTCCAAAGTGTTATGAGTGGGTGCTGAGTGAATTTTTTTATCGTCGTGGATGATCGCATCGGAAAGGAACTCAAAGGAACTTGAGTTGGATTATTTGTTTCTTGCCATTTGATTTGAATGTTCTCAGTTCGTGGCTGACAACATACTAACAAAATGTGGACATTCTCCAAACTTTATCTTCTTACTGCAATGATCAATGGTTATCCCTGATCACGTGACTAACCAGGTCTGGCCACTATCTCTACTGAAACAAAGACTAGGGTATCAAATCCTTTTATGCATCGTAAGATCAGTCTGAGAGAGATGAGAGAAATAAGTACAGTTCTGTATGTAGTGTGGAAGGAGATTAGATGGATATTGAAATGGACACAAAATTTGGGCTGGTGAGAACAAGCTTTCAGTCACCCGCTGCAATCTGCAGTTAGGGTTGCTCTTTCGTAAATAGCACCCGTCGAAGTTACAAGGTTCGAGTTAAGCAGTCAGTCTGAAGGCGTTCTTGAGGATCCAACCGGGGCCATCGAAGCATTGGTCCTCACTTAGTTCCAGTCGACCACCTGGGTCAGCAAACCCTGAATGTGTTGAAACCTATATAATTTCTTTTTTGTTTCGCTCGTGTTCTCTTCACAGAAGCAGGCGTGAGAGGACGACAGCTCCCTCTTATCATCACAATCCCCGATGAGTGAGGTTGTATGGTGTTACTTGCTGGGATATGACGTGAAATCTTTTAATTTCAGAATGCTCCCAGGTGTAAACAAGGCAATTTGATCGATCCAACTTCCTTTTATCTTGACAATGATCAACCGTCCGATAGTTTACTCATTTCGGACTACCTGTTATCCGCCCGTTAACTGCTTTGTCATCTGCACATGCATCGGAGACCAACTGACACGTCACAGTTGGCCTCGTGGGTAATATGGATAAATCAATATTCCAATCAATGTTTTGAACCATGTGGGTCCCCAGTCATCAGCTGTGTACTATGCAATGTGACGTAGAATTTTTCACATGGTATTATTCTCGTCACTATGACCAATTTTAATGGTTAACCACGGACCGTAGCCGAATTGAGTAACATTTGATGTGTCGGCTTGAATATCAATGACCTGCGCGACGAAGAAATATTCATTTCAAGCATGTCCTGTGGTGGTCGCTCGAGAACTGAACAATACACGAATAAAAGAAGTCCTGTTGAACACAGGCTGCGAGTTGAGTGTTCAGGCAAGAGTTCTTAACCCGCACTATCAAGCTACTCCGTGGACAAAAGGAACGATAGTGGAACTAACAGGACGGGACGAGCCATCCATTGATTACTGTAACCAACTGATCGACGTGGTGTCGCCGTTCTATACTACTCGAAAGATATATCATGAAGCACTTTCTTCTCAAAAGGGACGAAGTGTGGGTGGAGATCAGAAAACTGTTCCATTTTCCTACTATGAGAGTGCCTCTTGTTTTTCAGAGGAAGTGCTACGAACAAGAGGGTGTTCTGTCCCTCAAAAACAACTTTCTGGACGTTTAAAGATCGAAAGATTAGGGTCCAGTGTGTCAATAGCAAAACACCTCCAGGAACGTCCGTTATTATCCACAGTTTCTCGGAGCTCACAACACTCTAGCTCTGTGGCAGATCCTAGCTATTCCTCATGTTCAGGAACTCTGTTTAACCAGTTGAAAAGAGTGTTAACGGCTTCCAGACCTTCACCGGTAGAAACTGTGCACCATAATAAACACAACGTATTTACAACTCCAACTGTGACCCAAAAACGGAACGTAAACCTATCCAGATTCGCAGGGCAGTCTACAAACTTCCCCAAACCAGCATCTGGTGAAGAAAGTCACCAGAAGCGAAGTTCCTCTAGGAGATTGGCAATGCAGCCTGAGAGAAGAAACGTCCAGGTCCTTGAGCAAAGCACACCAGTGGATACGGTGCTCACTGCTCTAACACGGAACCTACAAAGCTTTAAGTCGAGGGTAGAGCAACCAAGGGAATTTGTTTTCAACCCGAAACAAAATTCAATTGGTGGTAATGTTCCAACTGGTGAGAAAACTGTAATGATTGCAGAGAAACAAAACAGGAATGCTACTGGAAGGCAACCAACTATCAGAACCCAATATTCCATCCACTGTAGTTCGATGCAAAAGCGTGCGAGTGTGTGCACTCGACAAGTGGGTTTGAAAAACGAAGGAACGGCTGAAAATGAAATCAAAGAAGCCAGTCAAAAGGGTTCAGACGAATGTTCGAATCGTCTGGAGGTTGGTCCACCAAAAGTTTCAAATTCACCAAAACACAACCACACAAAGAATGCTGACGATAAGACTACGGCGCCTAAAGATGATATAGATGACGAGCTGATGGTGAAAGGAGACTCCACCTCTGTCCTCGGGGCCGACAAATTTCCGAGTAACCGCTCTGTCGAACAGTGTTCAGCAAAAACAGAGCATATTTTAACAGAAGCGGAATCGGACGATTCCAGGCAGGATTTCGTAATTTGTGGTGAAAGTTCTTGCCCTTCAGCTGGATCGACTTTATCCAGCCCCTCATGTTCCAGCCCTTACCTGGGATCAAAGCTATTAGTTGACAGCCCTGAAAACCGTTCTATACAAGGTTTCAAGTCTACTCAACTAGCCTTGATCAGCGATGCTTCTAAAGTTCATTCAAAAAATGTAGAAGCACCCAAGAGGAGATCTGGCCCTTTTGTTGTGCCCAGTTTGATTTATTCTCAACAATTGCTTCTGCCAGGTGGCATGAGACATTCGCAACTTCATAGACAAAATTTGAGCCAAGCTGCCTTATACGAACTGGTGATGGAGTCTGGTTCCCATGCTCCTAAGCAAAACACGTTAGATCTTAGAAAACAGGTAATCCCTACTATTGTTCCAGACTATCCAATTGCAACTTTGGCCAAGGGTCCACAACAGAAGTTCAGTCTACAGTTCACACAAACAACGCTAACTGACGAGTTAAACTCTATCAGTTCAGAACAGGATTTGGTCAAACCTGATTCACTAACTCAAAGTATCCTCGAAGGACCAGCTAGTGCTGTTACCTGCGATCTGGAAGTTTCCCACAGTAGGACACAGATTCAGCGTCAGTTTAGACGTGGACAAGCGGTTACCAAAACAACACGTAAACCTGCGAACCTGACTTTGAAATCGAACACTGTCTCCCGTCGTATGACTTCAAACAGAAGTTCTGTGTTGACTCGACCTATTCAACAGTCTGGGTTCAGGAGGAGCAACTTAGCCGGTGGGTCAGGTACACGTTCCAAGTCTGAGACTAATGAGAGGGTGACTACACAAAGAGTTTCTAGAAGGCCACCAACAAAGGATGGAACGTTCGAAACTACGAAGATCAATCGGGTTTCTCGCTCAAAGTCTTTGGTTTTCGATGCTTCGAAAGATCCGGTTCTCGATGCCAAGCCATATAATATAATTGCCACGCTTAGGATGGAAAGAGATGGCATGCAGAAGACAGACGATCGATTCCAGTATTCCTTCGAGGATAACCTCAAGCCCAACACAACACACGCTCAAGAAACAAAAGGCGCAAGAGCTGTATCAGCATTTAAAGAAATGGGCGGCCATTCCCCTGATTACTCGAAGGTCCAAACCCGAATTCAAATGAGCGATTTTCAGACAGATGTGGAATTTACTGGAATAATTGAGCCCTCTACACAATTGTTAAGTTCACAATTAGGAACGTCCGCAACACCAAACAGTGAAGACAATTCGAATGTGGTCGATGGGCGTCAAACATCACAGGCATCCCTATCCATGGAAATTGTAAAAAGAGGGGAACCGATGGCTATCGTGTCTCAGAGTTCCAAAGAAGACCGAAAGGATCTGGGGAACGCAAAACAAGAAGTCAGAAAACCGAACGAAAGCCAGCAGCAGGTGTCTCGGAGTACCGAACGATCATCAAAAATTATTCGAAAGCCTTCCACAACAGAATCGATAAAACCGGACTCAGAGAAGGTCATTCTAAACATCCATGACAGAAATATCGCCGCAGGCTCTGAAACTTTGAGAGAAGACACTGAGTCAGATTCGCTGTCAATTCTTAACAAACAGGGTACTACCGGAAACGAAATGAAAGTTTCTGTTCGTCGATCACGGAGCATTGGTACACCGACCTCGGGTGACCATATGTTGACAGACCATACCTTCCATTTTCCGCTCGCCTCTGGTTTGAGAAATGATGTGGTAGATGTGCCGTCACTAATGAGAAAAAAAGTCTGTGATGACCTACAACCAAAACCCAGTCAGTTGTCCGAAGAAAGTGCCACCACCGCCACTCCGGACTGGGAGTTTGTTAAAAAGCACTTCAGCCAGCGACCCAGTGCGTTGACCCGTATTATTCGGAAATGTGTACCATTCCTATGTCCTAGTGTCGGATTCTAGGTTTTCCGTTTATTCTCGGTGGCTGTTGCGTGTTGCCACGGTCTTATTTCGAATTAACGAAATAAATTATGAGTTCCAAAATATCGTTTTCAACTTTCTGATGAAAATGGCCACAATCTAATTTGTTGGTTCATTAGAGACTGTTACATTCCTCTAGGGTACATCTGTCAGGAAAAAATTAAGTGAACTAGTTGGGGCGAATTCTTGCTTCAGCCCAACTGTTATTGGTTAGGACACTTGAGTGCTTAGGAGAAGTCAAGCGGATAGTAGTGAATTTTTCACAATCCTCAGAGAGAATTTGATAATCGCTAAGTCACTGAGGCCTGGATTTGCAAATGCTAATCGTGAAGGTAGAATGCAGCTAGTCATGAAAGGATATCAGCTACATGTCTTCCTCTGAATCGGCATTATCAGACTGATGCAGAAGGATCGGTCGGTTCACTGAATAGCTTTCGCCGTTACGGGGAACATGTCATCTCCAAGTACGTCTGAGTTTGTGGAGAGTATGAATTCAATAGGAAATAAGGGTGATGGAGATTGGGTGCCTGGACCCATCTGACATAATCCTCAACAAGAGTGAAATCGGAAGTCGATTTTCTGTAGTTTTCATAATATCCATCCTTTGTAAAGAATTTTTCTGGAAGTATCTATTTGAATGTCCTCTCAAATAGTCAAATAGCCTGATCAGATATATGACAACGGTTTATGTATCTGTCTTGTGAGTCACATAGTACTTCTATCCAATCAAACCGCAAGGAAATCTGACATTCATTGTTTCGGGATCAATGAACAATACCGGTGGAATATTACGGACTTCATTGGTTCAATGTGGGGCGGACACCACTTGTCACATGGGGTTATTCAAGGAGTAGACAATAATACTCATTCAACTGTTTCTCGGTATGGTATAGATCCGACAGATGCGGCCGTCCAAAAACAAGTCAGAAGCGCCAGCACCAGTCTTCTGAAATAGCTGACCCGACTGAAGTGAACAAGTTTAATCGTATGCGGATCGCTCTGATCACGAAGACATTTTTGCCCGAGTGAAGGAAATCCACTGCCTAGAAGAAAGCAAACATACCGGCAAAAACTTAGCAAGTCTAGTCACATTCAGGCTGCTTCAAAACATTATTTTTCTAGACTATGTAACCTACCACGAGACCTGAAGTTAAGTTATGGCCCCCTTTCCGCATTAACCTACAACGTCAGGACTTTAGCCAGCCATAAGCCAGCTACAAAATGGGAAAGCAGCGGGAATGGAGGGCTCGCCCGACAGACTGTTTAACCGGCAGTGTGGAACTAACCTCTGCACATGCTGCCTACTTAATGGAAAATGGAAAACAATTTGGCGGAAGATGGACAATACCACGAAGTCAACTCCCTGTGCACTGCAGAGAAGGTTAAAGCTCGCATCCTCCCCACTGGGGAAGAGTATTGTGAAGCGATCGAAGTATGATTTGCCCGAGACAAATCTACGAATGAACTTCCCTATGCACTGATTGTGATATGTAGCAAAGCCTTCGACTCAGTGAACAGAGGGGTGGAATAGGTCGTCTCACGAAGGTCCGTTTGTGTGAATGGCAAACCATTTTCTGTCGAGAGGAAAGACTGGGTGTAGACCCACGTAACTATTGCATCGAGTTTGAAATCAACAAAGGAATGAAGTAGGATTACGTTATTGATAAAGGCTTGTTTAGCTACTATCTAATAACCATCTACAAGGGAGTTTTCCGCATCCGCGCATCTAACGCCTTTCAGATGGCTATTCGCTCATTTTGATGCATTTCCCTGTCAGGACACTGCTGTTTGGATCCAATGTTCATACATCGCTGTCTTCATGATCTGAGGCAGAGTTGCAATGGTTGTTTGATCCAGTCGTATGTCGTTTCGACCAGCATGAACTGGGGCCCCAACACACAACGTTATGTAGCCAGCTCGAAGGTTGTGAGAGCGTGTATTGTAAAACTTATGCTCTTTTGGCAGGACAACATCAACAAAGGTGACTCCTGACAGTGAAATAAACTCATGGCTTTCAGTCTGTGCGAGAAACACGTCCGGAACATGTACCACTGCGGAAGGTGCGGTAGCGCCCTGACACTCATAGGATTGGGTAGACGGTGGATTGTGCCCTAATGATAAACACTTAAATGGTATCAGTGTTGATTGCCATCCTATCGTGTTCAGACCAGTCGATAACTTTCAGCAAGCTTCTGCATGTTCTCCCGTCTCTCTTATTCTGTCGGGTCTGTATCAAGGACTTGCATCCAGCATGATATTGGGCTCGGCGCAAACCGTCTGTGGCTTTCCAACTATGCGCACGTGTCAAACGGCTTCACCATTGCTCCTCCCCCACTTACTACATTGATCCAAAGGACAGCGAAGCATTCCCATCAAAAAAAACTCAAACGACACTATTCGAAGAAGAAGATCCAATAAGTGATGTTATAATGGAGGACCGAGGAGTTGGACCATTTAGCGATTGACTTCAGTCACCACTCGATCGGATGTATTCAGTACGACTAGTTTGTCCTGTTTTAGATCACTGTTCCTAGATGTTAAATCGTACAAACGAGGCTTGCGTTCAAATGATATTCCTCGATAGGACCAATCTCTGCTGATTTAGTATAAAATAAACTAGTTCGGGAGTTCAGCTGAGGGGATGCAGTACAACTCTCTTAAAAAGTCACCTTGGACAGGCTTAAATCAACCGTAACTCATGAGGCAGGTTAATCTATGGGTGAACATCGAGATTGTTAAATGATTGATTAGTTGAACAAATCTGTTGTTAAAATGAGTAATAAATGTTATATCTGACTGCTGTCCCCGCTCCAGTGCCTATTGTCCGAAAAAGAGACACACCGACAAGGAACGGCGCTCAGTATTCGCACAATGGAATTGGAATTTCGAGAGCTATGACGTATCCCTGATGGATTAAGGCAATCGGGCAATCAAGTTGAGAGTACCAGTTCAAACTTTTGAGCCCCATTTAGGCATCCCAGGGTCTCAGCGATGCTTAGAAATTATTCCACCAGACTTTTCCGCAAGAGATTGACAGTGAAGTATGGTGAGCTGCAAAAATATGGATGAAACAAGATGCAACATTTTGGCGCAAAATGTTTTACTCAACTTGTAAAGGTTTTGCAGTTAGGACCATTGTGCGGCTAATGGGCCCCACACAACAGCCTTATTGAAACAACCGAGCGCGCATGCGAAGCTTCAACGACCTCGCGTTGAGATAGCACTATCTGACCTTGATCAAGGGCTGACTTGCACTGCCTAACTCTGATCCAGGACTGTCTGGTCGGCGTTTAGTGAAGTTGAAAGTCTCAGTAGGGTATTCTGGGATAATTTTCATAAATTTGACGGTCCTGGCAATGAGTTTCACTAAACTTTAAGGAATTGCTTCCGATGGGAGCGAAACAAGACGAGCCTCCAGTGGAACACCGGCGAGTGTTGCCCTGCCGTTTAATCAGTGCCTTTCACAAAGAAAAAAATAATCGGCTACTTTAAATGGCGACTCCTGGAAATCCCGAGACAGCGCTTGCACGGCGCATTAGCTTGAAGTACAGTATGAACCGGAAATGCGTTTTTTTTGTTTTTATGTCAATACTACCTTGGCTTGCAAATGAGATATTTATTCACAACATGAGTGAAATAAGTTTTTTGTAAATCCACGGAGTATACCCAACGGATGAACTGCAAACATGGCTGAGCCGGAAGGGAATTCTTGACAAGAGCAAATTATCCCTAAAAAAACTGTAACCGCTTATTATGCATTGCTCAGCTTACTGTGGATTTCACCATCCAACGATCGTTTGATCTTTAGTCCTAAATACCGATCGATCGATAAAATATCTGAATTTTAATGACCTTTATCCACACCCATTGTGTTGTGTTGTGATGACCATGCCTATTCATTATGCCTATTCGTTACTTGTTCACTTCACATAGTTCCACGTTGCCGGGCCATTTTAAAAAGCCATATCAGTTTTGCGGGACAAACCCAAGCTCTTGACACCTGGTGGCGGCTGTTTAAGGGGATTTCCTCATTCCTTATTGTTGTATAAATTATGGAGCAATTCATTTCAGGGTTTTCTCCTATTGGACCGTATGGAATTTTGTATGATATTTCCGGCCTTCCTATTCTGGTGATCTGCCCAAAAATTAGATATTTTGAACTTTTTATTGTCGATGGCCGCATTCATTTTTGGAGGAAATTTCCACCTCCCAACACATTCACTTTATTTCAAGAATAAAGAGCTTAATCTTGGTGGTATTAGGACATTTTGGAATTTTTATGGAGATTTCTTCATGACTTGAAGTCAGTCTATACTGAAAAGTCGAGAAGCACTTTACAGATGTTTCATCCTTATCAGAAATCCTCAGCACCCGATCGGATTCTCACTGACAGGTCAGACTGTGTTGTATCTTGCGCGGTGGCCGAGCTATTGGGTTACGCCTGCACTGAGCCTGCCAGACTACGCGATAGGGAGGAGACAGAGAACTCGGGACACGACTGTATTGCCAGGACAAAACATAAAGAATGTCTGCGTAAATATATAGGATGACTAATTGGCCAAATACGGTCGTTCACTTGCTCACTCCGTACAGACAATGGTGGTGTTCCGGTCGTGAACATTCTCAGGCCCACTACGCTGGTCGTGTGTTGCTAGGCCGTGTTTGGTGGGAGCCGCCGACTCACCTACTTTCCGGACGTGTCGAACCTATGGTGACCTTGGGGATGCGTCACTCTGTGCACATGTGCTTTAGCCGCCGGTTCACCTAGTTTCCGGACGTGTAGAACCGATGGTGACCTTGGGGATGCGTCACTCTGTGCACATGTGCTTTTTCTTCTGTCTGGGCGCGCCCTGACGGACTGCTTCGTCCGAAGGGTCATTAAGGCCCCGCGAGGAACCTAAACAGTGTCAAAGTATGGTCTTGGCACTACGTGCACAACATTCAAAGGATCAGAATGTGGAACATCCTGTCACACAGCATCG